GGGTTTCTAATTAACTACTGAGCGCCAATTTCGAAAACCTTATTTGCCATCTCTCTTTAGAAGGAGCAGCACTAAAGAGGACAGTAAAAGAACCTGCAAATGAAAGCAATAAAAGAACAGAGTAAAGTTTTGAATTTCTGGCTTGACGACGAAGGTAAGGAGATTTGCGTTATTTTATTTCTAATTCCCAAAATTTAGCCTTTGCTTTTGAGCACTTCGTAGCAGCATAAAAATATCTGTCCTTACGTTGCGCGAGGGATCACGTCCAGTTTCTTTAGAAACTACATTACAGGCAAACTTTCTGTTTGCGGTACAACGACGTGCATGACTACCTCTACATGTGACAATTGCTTCTCAAGGAATTTCTACTTGTTGGCAAAAAACAACAGGCATGATTTTAACACTGTTCAGAAGTAAATTTGTAGAGGTACTTCTCGCTCCAGAAAATGGCGCGAAAACAAGTTTCAAAACGTTCAGGAAGCGTCATCCTTAACAGAAACACGTGCGCTTGTAGCTAAATTTGGAAGTGCATTCAATTGCATAACCCAATCACGTGCAGGAGGCATGAAAATGGCGCGAAAACAAGTTTCAAGGTTGATATCTGTATAAGATAAGGCGCGCAAAATAGGCTAGTTTCGAACTGTTTGTGCGAGAAAGTCTGGTAACTAATTATTAGCACCAAACCGAGGCTGAGGGGAAGAAGTCCAAGTCAACGCGACAAAAGGTCGAATGAGTGGAGAAAACGAGACGCTAGCGAAGAAATCAAAGAAGTACTTCCCGCTAAAACTTTTCCGTGTTTCTTCTGATATTGCTCTGAAAGACCAGGAGTACGCCCTTAAGAAAACAAAGTTTATAGAGAAGAAGCTTTCAAAGAAAAGGAATATCTGACTGTTTTTTGCCAAACACACATTGACCTCCAACAAATGGATGATATGATAAAAAAGTTTATCGATGGTAAGAGGTAAACAATTCGAAACGAACTCAATAACAAGCCAGCATTTAAACGGGAACTTTTCATGGACGATGTACTGAAAAATGACGAATCCGTGAAATTCTTCACGGCATTTCCAACTTTGGCCTGTCATCAGTTAAACTGTGGTACTTCAGATCCTCCACATGCCTGTCAGTAAATGAGCAAAAACCCTCAAGACTTTTATACAACCGTAAACAGTCTTCATCGTAACCATCTTTTCTAACCAGATAATGGTGAATATCGGGAAACCTGAAGTCTGTAATACCGGTGAAGTCATGGGTCCAAAATTTAAGCGAAAGTGAGTGGGGAAGCAATTTTCCTCCTGGCAATGTTATCTTGGAATTAATCAACTCGTCGCGTTGCACTGTGTCCTTTTCAAGTTTTGGAACTTTTATTTCAGCTGCGTTCTTGCAAAGCTCTAGCAGTTCTGCCCTTTTCCTACATTTACCGTTTACAGAAATTTGAATATCCCTTTTCTTTAAAAGTCTGGAACTTTCATATTCGTGAAGACATCATTCCCTCCCATGTTGAGACGAGTCGTATTCCCCTCAGCCTCGACTTGATGCTGAAAACTAGTTACCAGACTTTCTCGCACAAACAATTCCAAACTAGCCTAGTTAAAGCTCCTTTGTTAATCTTACTATCCCAACAGCCTCTACAGCCCTATCCCTATACGAGAGAGGAGTTGTATATTGACGAGGAAGGGGACATCGCAGAAGAGTTCAGCTGATAACCAGTAAATCAGGAAATCCACAAAAAGGTGCGTGCGCTGCTTCCTTCTCTACTTCCTCTCAATCCTCCCAGTCTGTGGACTGTTTCTCGTCATACTTACCGATGAAATTTATTCCCCTACGAGAAAATAGAAGAAAACATTTCTTTCACTACATAGTTGTTTCACGAATCATTTGAGGGTTGCAACCGACCAAGGGATCACTCTTTTAAACATGGCTTGGGAGCCGAATGATCTCTCCCCCAGTGACGTCGGTTAGAACCCAACACCAATTGGCCGTTTCACCAGTGGCAAGACCCGGAGACAGGTCGTAACGACAATTTGCTTCGTGCGACATGGACAAAGTTTTTAAAAAATCTTTTCCTTTGAGAGCGGATGTCTCTAAAGCAATTTGTAGACAAATTCTGCCTTGCTTGATTTCGTGCGTATCATAATCACAGTAAAACGAAG